AATTAATTAAATTATATTTATTTATTTATTTATTTATTGAATTTCTACCCCACCCATCTAGTGGCAAGCTACTACTCTGGGCAGCTTACAAACAAAAATAACCATCTGCATAAAAGAATTCAACCATAAATATAAATAAATAGCGTAAAAGAAACTCTCCTTAAACTCAACTACATCTAAAAATATCAACTAACATACAGGATGGCAAAGAGTGAAAGATTTATATTATCTGAAGAGAAACCAGATTATTTATATATATAGGTCATATTGTTTTCACTTGTTATCTTCAAGGATTGTCAATAAAAATACAGGTCATATTATTTTCTCTTGTTATCTTTAAGGATTGTCAATAAAAACCATTAAAAAGAGACAGAGATGGTCATAACTGTATTAAATACAGATTTTTACATGGGGGGAAATCTAAGAATTCAGCAATAAACAGCGGGTTGTCAGTACAGATGGTCATACAGTAACTGTTGAAAACTCTATAATTAAATACAGATTTTGACACTGGGGGGGGGGAGTCTAAAAATTCAGCAATAAACAGCGGGTTGTCAGTAATTAAGTAAGTGGTTAAATTAAGTAGGACACCAAGTGTTATTACCAATGTTTGATAATTTCTCAAAAGCCAACCCAGGGAGGTAGAAAAAAAATCTACCTTTTCTCTCAACAACCATCCACCCCTTTCTCTTTCATACCAATGATCATTTTTATCCCTCCTTACCTCTAGGATTTGATGTCCTTTCACGTTTCCTGCAGCCCTCGATACCATGTTCAGGAGGATGCTACTTTTTTCCTCGGCATTGCCTTTCAAAAGCACCGACATGAAAACGACAAACTGCTCCTTTGCCACTGAGCTGTTCGGCCCAGGTGACTTCTCACTCCACTGGATGCTTTTCATCCCATCGTACAGCCTCATGACCATGGACTCAGGCAGAGCATCCTTGACACGGGCCTAATGGGAGGAATGAAATGCAACGGCTACTTTAATCATCCTGACCGACAGTCAGAAAGTGAGAAATCGGTGCCTTATTAGACTCTAAGCACTTGCATTTTTAGAATGTCAATGAAACATTCTCATTGCTCTTTTTCTACTCTTAAAAATGTTTTGACTGTATTGTGGATTGAATTCTGACTTAAGTGTTTGCCTAGAACTTAATTTTAACCTTCATCTATTTTTGTGCCTACAGCTTTTCTTGGCTATAAGACTTCTCTGCTTTTACAACTTCAAAGTATTTGGTGCATATGAAACATAGAAGCAATGTAGATAAATAAAGCTGGAAGAATTAAACAAGCCGACGTTGCCTGGCATTATTGCAACAATGAAAAGACTTTATATGTTGATACACAGATGAATCTTGAAATGATTCTCTGTTTCATTCTGGAATCACTCCTTTCTTGGGATATATGCCAGCTGTGACAAACACAGGCTTCTGATTTTTTTTCCCTAGAGGTCAATCAAGTTTTGTAGGGCTCATCCAGACATCCCTAACCTGGCAGGGGGAAAGGGTTTAACTCTTCCTCCTCTGAAATTCTCCACTGAACTATGCAGAAGCTTCAACAAAAGCTAAGGAAAAGAACATTTTTAAAAAGAACAAAGATTTGTCGTACATGTTAGGATTCAGACTGGAGGTTGCATTTTTACTTTAACGGAAGGGACAAAGAAGATGTCACCCCTAAATTCCCTGTTTAAAGTACCTTGTTGTTCCCAATTAGCTGTTGAGTGAATCAGTAATTTGTCAACTTTGTTTTGTTGTTTGTTTGTTTTTTACTCATCCCTTTCTAGTTTCTATGTTAGTTTTAGTTTTGTAAGCTGTCTTGGGTCTCCCTGAGAAGGAAGGAAGGAAGGAAGGAAGGAAGGAAGGAAGGAAGGAAGGAAGGGTCCCCTGCTCCACCCCCAGCTTCTCCAATGTGGCATGTCTTACACCAATAGTTCCTAACCTCAGGTCCCCTGATGTTCCTGAACTTCAACTCCCAGAAATCCTAGGCAGCACATCTAATTATGAAGGCTTCTAGGAGGTTGAGTCCAAGAACATATGGGGACCCAAATTGGGAACCCCTGTCTTATATGGTTGTAAGAAATTCAGCAATCACAATGTGAAGCAACACAAACACTTTAAAGCATGACACAAATGCTAAGCTAAGGTGATGGCAGTTGCCACCAAGGGAACGTGTTCTTGCCTTAAGCATCCCAAGAGTCAGACCCTTCTTGACTGCTTTTCCTCCCTTTGGGGTAAGGGCCTCTTCGGACCCCAGCAAGGAGCTGAAGACGCCATCGATGTCGGCTTGTTCGTCAGGAAGAAACCTTGCCAAGTGCTTCTGGTAGGAGCTGCGGCTCTCCACGCTGCCCATCTTTTCCAGCAGACGGTGGAATCCTAGTAGCAAAATGAAAGGGAAGAAGAATGAGACGAGCATGAAAACAGCAAAAGGGGCTTGTGGGGGGGACTAGTCCCATACAGTAGATCAGTGTGCAGAAAGTCACAGACGGAACTTGAGAAAGAAGCAACAAACAATGTTTCAAACCATGGCTTTTTTAAATGCATGGGCTCAACTCTGCCCTCTCCCACTGCAGTCTGCGCCAGCAGACGCTGATACAGATGGAAAAACCAATACGGGTTAACAACTGATTTAGCATGTGCAAAACAAATAGGGCTTGGCCGTCCAGTCAGAAGGTATCAGAAATGATCCAGAGCTTCGGGGAAATTGGGTATCAGAAGTCTCCGGTCACCTCAAGCTATTTCATGACCAGCAAAGTGAGCCCAGAGTCAGCAAAGAGCACAACCTGAACTACGTGTAAAAAAAAAAAACAGTATTCCCCAACTCCGTGCACTGTGAATGTACTGCCTCATGACTCCCAAGGGCCATGCTGGCTGGGGATAATGGGAGATCCCACTTTGGGGAAATAAGATGGCTAATTAATTGCCCTTAACTTGTATGTGGAACAGCAAGAAGAAGTGGACTGGGCGGGGGCTACCACTTTGTGAAACGACAGCAGGAAGAGTAAAAATAAGGAAGAGTCACTTAACCCCTTCCCATTCTGCCAAAGCTTTAGGCAAAACAATGTAGAGATCTACTATCATCTCTTTACCAAGGAGAGAACAGGGTGGGAGTGACCAAGAGCAACAAAGCAGGATGAAATGGTAGAAGAGGTAAAGGATAAAACACCTGGCCTCCTCAGCCAACCAGGTGTAGCCTCATTCATAACTCTACCTCTGCTTTTCCCTAAAAATAGAGCAATAAAAAAATAAATCAATGAATGAAAGACATTCCTCTCAATTTCCATGCTAGAGTTGTCATGTCTTTTATTAAAGGCATGGGAGTCAGACAAGGGAAGAAATTCCTTACACCATGAAGAACCAAGCCCTTTGTTTTCTTCCACTATCCAACACACGCAAGCATAGCTGTGTAATAAAACTCATAATAAAGATAATCCACAGTACAGTACCTTCTTAAGTTGAAAAACACAACAGATGATAAAAATTGTGAATGCTCATATGGTGACACTCTAGCACATGCAAACTTAAACATGGGCTACTATAAAAAAGGCGGATGTGCTTGAAATGTGTGTTTATTATAGGATACCGGGGGGGGGGGGAATGGGCCAAAAGGGTGATTAGTGAAGAAGTGTTGATGTGAATAAAGACCAAGAAAGGGTCATATGCATAAAAGGAAGGCAGCCAGAATACTTTGCTGCTGTACAAAAAACCAGAAGACTGCTAAAATACAGTGGACCCTCGACTTACAGACGGCTCGACTTACAAACTTTTCGACTTACAGACTTCTCTGGCTGCAAAATTTAGGTTCGACCTGCAGCCAGAGAATCGACCTACAGACCAGAAAAAAACTAAAATGGAACAAAAACAGCCTGTTACGGGATTAATCGGTTTTCGATGCATTGTAGGTCAATGGAGACTCGACCTACAGACTTTTCGACCTGCAGCCACCATTCCAATACGGATTAATTCCGTAAGTAGACGGTCCACTGTATTGGGGGGGGGGAGAGAGAAAAAAAAATAAAGAAGGCAAAAATGTAGTGACACCTTTACTGCTATCTTTTAATATGATCTTTTGAGGACAAGTCCGCTCGCTCAGACTTTCCCACAAAACCTCACATTAAAATATATCAGTTAGTCTTTAAGGTGGCCACAATGTCTTTGCCTTCTTTATTTTTTATTTTGTTGTTTGCCTCTTCTGAAAAGATTGCTAAAGGCGGTTATTCAAGGCAAAATAAATAGTAGAAAAGCACAGAAAAAAGAAGAATCGATTGGCTGAAGAAACTGGGAGACAGAAACAACATAACAGCACTAATTAAAGCTCCAATATCCAAACTCACTCAGTATCATGTGTCGATAAGTCAATTCAGACTTAGGGTGACCCGTTGTGTGCATCTTCTGAAAAGATTGCTAAAGGCGGTTATTCAAGGCAAAATAAATAGTAGAAAAGCACAGAAAAAAGAAGAATCGATTGGCTGAAGAAACTGGGAGACAGAAACAACATAACAGCACTAATTAAAGCTCCAATATCCAAACTCACTCAGTATCATGTGTCGATAAGTCAATTCAGACTTAGGGTGACCCTTTTCAAGGTTTGCCAGGTAGAGTAGTGGTCTCCGTCCTTGGGCCTCCAGATGTTCTTGGACTGCAACTCCCAGAAGCCTTCACCACCAATCAGTATCATGCGTCGATAAGTCAATTCTGACTTAGGGTGACCCTTTTCAAGGTTTCCCAGGTAGAGAATACTCAGAAGTGGTTTACCGTTCCCTTCCTCTAGGGGGCACCCTGGGACTGTGCAGCTTGCCCAAGGCTACATAGGCTGGCTCTTCTCCCAAGTGGCACAGGAGGGAATCTAAATCCTAGCCTCGGGCTAAATCACTGAGCTATCCAGCCAACTTAACCAAAGTGAAGATAGCTGCAATAGGTAAGAGAGAAACAGCAAAAAGGTGTATTCTGCCGATATTCACACCCTTTTCTAAAGGGAATCCTGGCAAAGACTGTTCCTTCCAGAAGCAGGACCCACACAGACCACAGACAATCAAGATAGAGGAAGTGCTGCAATTACAATATTATTGTTTATAGCTGCCAGATTCAAAGTCAGACTAGACATGATGACCTCCAGCCTCTGATAGGAGAGGAACAAGAATACTTCAGCACACACTGCAACATGAAGATTTTTGAATGGCTGCAGCAGCAACAGTGACATGGGACTCACTGTGCATTTTACAGCATCTTGATGTGAAGGAATCATGTGATAAGAGCAACAGCAAGCAAAAGTTTCAATGCATGGTGCTGTTCTTAAAATGCATATCACCCTGGCCAAGGTAGGTAAGTTAGCGATGCTAATAATACCACATGCTTGATACACTAGGCATGCAACATTATGGCACAAAACCTCATCTGATTTAAAAGATACTTATTGTGCCAACAGCCAGGTTCTTTGTATTCCATTTTCCTAAATCATCCCTCTAAAATGGAAGGTTTGTTCTTTTTCAAGGCACACTACAGGCCTGTGTGTAAAGTGGGAATATTTTCAGCAGCAGCAACCTCACCTCCTCCTCCTCCAAGAATGGAACTAAAAAAGAAGAGTTTTTGAAAAGAGTGTGTGACATGAACGCTTTCCACCCAACAAGATCCAGTGACAGAAATACAAATTAAGGATCAAAGCCCAACAGGGATGAATTATTCACAAAGCACAGCCACTGACTGCAAACTTGTCAGAGAGACAGAGAAACAGAATACAGATGTGCATTAAGTGTGGTTAAAAAACACACACTGCTGTTGTACACAAAGCACATTCAGCCATTCCAGTTTAGGGTAAACAAGCCAGTTCCCAGACAGGCAGTTGTTCAGAGCAGGTTAAGGATACTGACAAGGAAGCATTGTTTAAAATATTTATTTATTAGAAAGAAAAAGGACAATTTTTCAGAAGTCTCCTTTTTATTATTATTATTAGGAAGTATATCTGTGAAGATTCTCAGTCATCCTGGTGAGGTTATCTGGAAGTTGTGTGAACTGGACTTCCTTTCTTGTGAGGTTGAAGCGTTTCGCTACTGAAGAAGCTCCTTGGATGAGTAGCGAAACATTTCAACATTGTTAGGAAGTGCATTGTATCTTTAACAACCATTCATAAATCCAAATTTTTTCCCAGCTGATGAAATACTGGCCTTTATTTACAGTCCATTCTGGGTGTGTGTGTGGGGGGGGGAAATTACCATCTAAAATATTGCCTGCTGCATACCCAATGACATAGGAGCCATGCAGGAAAAAAAAAAGAGAGAAAACTAAGAAAGGTGGTGAGGTGCCGAGATAAAGAGACAAAATTCTAAATGACTCCAATAATCCAAGTTTTCCTCTTTTCCCGAAGGATGCAGGTTGCTGCAACCCAGGACCAACACCGGTAGAACAGAACACCTTAAGGCTGATAATACTGGAACACTAGAATAACTGAACAGATAGCATGTGCCAGACATATTCCACAGTACACTATAGGCTTATAGGGAGGGTACAACCTTTTCTCCAAGTTCTGCAGGAGCGCTGTGCACTGCATTCGAATTGTGGCCCTGCAGTCAGAATTGCTGCCCCTTTAAGTTTTGGCCACAACCGGAACCCCCACACGCACAGGGCAGCACTGGCAGAAAATTAAAAGGAACATTGTTGGGGGGCATATGGTGTTTATTTATCTCTCTCTCCCATTAGTGCCCAGGCACTGCTCTGGATGGTTACAACAAATATAATACAAGACAGAAAAGAAAGATAAAAGCATTAATAGCAGTTTGCAAATAACTCTTAAAAATAGATGGTCCAGGACCACTCATTTAAAAACCAGAACAGACCGGGGTGAGGGGGTGGGAGGATGATCAGCCAGTATTGAGGATTAAATTGAATGACAGAGAAAGGGCAATAAAGTTGGGATGCTGGCTGATTGGGAAAAGACAGAGGGGGCAGCAGAATGGGCAGAAATGAGCCTGTCAAGTTTCGTCTGGGCAAAAATGAAGACGGATGCTTGCAGGACCCTTGTGGTAGCGTGGAAAGCACAGCCACCGGGACCAGCTAAAGAATGTGGCAACCTCACAGGGGCAAGGAAGAAGAGGAGCAGGGAAAGCCGGGGTGGGCATGCCTGTGAGTTGGAAACTAGCTTTGGGGAGGAACTTCCACCCCGTCAGCATGCCCAGTTTGAAAGCCTACAGAGCATCCATGTTTGCAGCAGAATCGCTCTGATCCTGGATTTGAACCAGAATGAAATGAAACCTTGACCATGTTCCAGCATGTGGGTGGGAGAACCGCGCTGGTCTTGATTTGGGGAAAGCAGGGCTCAAATCCACCCCCCTTCCGACACAAGTCTCTTTTTTGAGTTGTGTGAAGGATATTTTAGGATTTGTCAGGAAGTCCATCATGTATGTGTATGTATATGTATACACACACCTACACCTACATCTATATACATACATACATGCATACATACATATCTACACCTACATCTATATACATATGTACATGCATACATACATACATATCTGTATCAATATCTATACATATAGTACATAGATATGTGTGTACACCCCCACAAACACGTGGGGGTACAATATGCAAGAACCAAAGGTAAGGTATATACTGTATATATTTGTGTGTGTGTGTGTGTGTGTATACAGTATATGCATACATATATACACACACATTATACACACACACACACACACCTTTCCCTCTTTATTTATTTATTTTAAAAATGTTTTCACCCTGCTTTTCTCCTTAAAGGTGCCCAAGGCGGCTCACCTCATTAATATTCATAAGCCCCCCTATGAATATGCATGAGGCATCATGACTCTCAAATGAGCTGAAATAGAAGGAACAGAACATATTCTCGACATGGATTTCTCAGGGACAGAGAAGGGCTTCCAGGCCAGGAGAGGGGGGGAGGGGGGGATAATAAAATAAAAAAGGCTCGTGGGTGGAAAAACAAGCGAGGGCGGGAAGGCCTCATGAATAATTCACGAGAAGGCCTTTAAATTTGCATAGGGGCCCCGCCCCCTTCCCTGAGTACCTCGGC